CTCATTGGGGGTGCTGATGAGACGAAGCTGTAGTCCAGTTTAGCCTATTTGAGAATAAAGGATAGCAGCCTGGAGATGTATTTTCATGCAGGTACCAAAAGTCTCAAAAGATTTCTATTCGAAACAGGAACCTCAGTCTTTTCACAGATCCTGTCCCCTTTCGTTGGATCTCATAATTTGGCCGCATGACAACATCTTCTCCGTCCTACCAGGTTGACGCCACAGAGCCCGGTTTCTCAAATTGTCAGCGGTCTCTGGGGTGAGGAGTGGAGGCACTGGTTTCCGTATTCATGTCTTGTTTTGAAATGCTAATTTGACGTCGCATGTACATTCGTCGCCAATGCTTGGCGACGAGAGAAACCTATTAAAATTGACATTTCACACATGCTCTAACATGTGTACACGGCGGAATTGCACAGAGGTCGATGATGCTAATTATGCTAATGATGCTAATGATGAGGAGGTTGCTAATAATGGTAAAGATGTCGATGTTGATGAGCAGACGTGGTTTGCTCTTTCAGGGGCCGATTGATTGCTTTTTCACTGCCACCTCGGACCTGAACACGGTGCTTCCGATGCAATAGTATATTTTTAACACACCCTCACCCTCACCCAAACACACACACACACACACACACAAACACATAGAAGCATACACATGCCGTGTCAACTGCATCCTTAAATCACGACTCCGGAACTGATGCCTCCGAACAGTAGCGACCAGACGCAAATGATGCGGGAATCAGGCTCGCGCCAATTCAGTGTGGAATTCTAACAGTCACGCCTTGGAACCTATTTATTACGAGGTCCACATTTGCATATAAACGAATCACACTTCCCACCTCATTGGCGGGCAGGAGAGCATGAAATTGCTTCACCTGTTGCACTCGTCTGAAATGCCTCGCAGATGAGCTCGCCTCCTCTCATCCTCCGCCTCACTCGCCAAATCGCGCACTCAATCACTCAATCACTCAATCACTCAATCACCAAATCACTCACACACACACACACAC